GCCACAAGGCTAACGTCGCGGCGTCGCGTCCGTTCACTACAATTAAATAACGGACAATGCGTTTTTTGTAGTACTACAACGTACCTCGCGTAAAATTGGATGAAAAATTCATTGCACAAAGTTGCGTGTTTTGTTTGTGCTTTCGTGAGTTAAGAAGATCGCCGGCACGGCTCGGCCTATAATTTGCATGTTTTTTTTTCGGCGAGAACGGCTAATTGATATGCAGTTTGCTTAAATGATGCACTTCGTCTTTTCGACGCAAGACATAAATCAAGGCCGAAATAAAAAAAATCACACGTTCGCAGTAATCTTCAACGATTGCCGCTTGGTCGTAAAAGCGTCAGCTTCGTGTTTTGGGCCGCCGCTGAAGGATCTTTCGGCGAGATGCAACGCGTGCTCGCAACGGATTCCCCGTGTTTTTGCATATCTTTCACGTCGAATCAGTTTGTAAATTTTCATTTTCGTCACGAGTGGACATTTAATTGCTAATTCGTAATTTGCAGAATCAACATTAATAGAGACAGAGGACTCGGCTCTATCTTGAATCTTTAGGAGCGTTTAAGAACCGTTACGCAGTCGACTAAACCGCCGGAGCATAAATGCCTTTTATGATCGATCTCTTATGAGGATTTTGGCGCAGTCTGATATTTTTAGCGGATTACGCGCATAATTTTCTTCATAAACTGGTTTGCATAACACACATATATTTATAATGTTTGCTTATTTTCCTGCGAGCGAGCACATCGTGAGATAACGTTAAATTTATCGACCCTATCGTTAGCTATTATTAATGAGATGCGGATGCTATATGTAAAACGGCTTATCGTGATTGCTCATTACGGAAACGTATACTGTCATTCGATCGTGAATCATAAATTTCGTTTAACCGGAATTTTCTCGGTCCACGTGGATTGTTTGTATAGTACGAGATAGAGTTTCTGGACGGCAATGAAATTTAACAATGGCATTGCGGTACTGCTCGAATTTAATTTAAAGGCAGCGAGTCCATTGTACGCGCGAGAATGTATAAATAGACTCGGCATGCGAGCCCACGCATCAGCTTTATGCCACCGAAGATCCCGTCCTCCTCGCGAAACAAATTTACATTTATAGCCATAGGTAAAAAGACGATTAAAGTTATTTCAATTTTCCCCTCTTAAACGACTTCTTATGTAAGTTCGTTCTTTAACGCTCATTTTGCATCACAAAGTGAATCTGTTTACGTCGTAAAAAAATTGCGCTTACTCCAATAATTTTATTTGCCGACATGCAGTTGACTACTGTTAAAAACAATTTATCCTTTATCCTTAGCATTAATAAAAATATTAAATCAAATTATTATAATCTTTTTAGACTTGAAATATTTTGTTTAATTTTATAAAAGTGAAGAATTGTTTATAGTGAGGATATGCATATATGAACAATGGAGAAACTTTAAATTGAAGCCTTACCTCGAAAGAGGGCTTTGTCAAAAATATTGAAGTATAATCAGCGATAAGAAGGTATTTTAAGAATAAAATTAACAGAGAATAAAAAAGGATAAATTGTTTTTAACAGTAGTACTAATATATAAAGCTTCCATTAAATTTTCTTCTGGAGAATTCAAGAAAGAATAAATTAATTTATAAATATAAAATAAAAACTATCAGATTTTATGTAAATATTAAACTAAGAACACATATAAATGTTAAAAAAAAATAATTTAATTACGCACTAAATATCACCCTGCGATGTATGTGTGATAACTATTTAATATAAAGACAGTGTGTATATATATCACTGCAGATTATGGAAGACACCGGTTGATAGAATCACCGCGGCAGAGAAGTTCTTAATGGCCGGTACTCGGTGACGGTAATGTCGTTCGAGGCCCGTTTTATTGCCGTTTGCGCCAGTCCAGGATCGAGGTGAGGACATTGTTCGAACGTCTGGGAATCTCTCATGATTGTCGTGCTCTCCGTAATAGCCGCGTATTCAAATACCGGCCTACCGCTTGTATACGTTTGCCCGGATTGTTGAGTAACGAAATGGAAAAAAAGGAAGTAGGATCCCCCGATGTCGTTCGCGTAATATCGCTTGACACTGCCATGTTCCGTTCGGTTTTGCAAGGATGGGATTGAAGAGAAAAACGGAGTCATTATGTATGGCTTGTGTATTAAACCATATCTGACTCGATATCTCTGGCTCTATTCGACTCTACATTTAATTGCTTTTTCACACATAATGAAGTCACTTTTTCATACATAAAATAATATACGATTACGTAAATTGATGAAAACGAACGAAATTTTAGCGGTTTTATGCAAAATCCGATTTCAATTCACGACGCGCTGACTATGAATGCGACTCTTATTATCACGATCTCTTATTATTAGTTGTAGCTCTGAATTTATTTTCCTCTGATCGATCTCGTATAAGTAGCCAATCTATTTCGCGGCGAGGGAAAGATCTACGTCTGGAAGATCTTACTCGTTATACTCGCGTAGATTTACCTCTTCAAATTTTCTGGCCGCGCAGTCGTACAAATTATCGTTATTCCCATAGGCGAAAGGAGGAGATCCAGCGCGTATTATTTACAATTACTTTCGTGCGATGCGCGATGTTCTCGCCCGTCGTAATTTGCGATTTATCGCGTACGGATAGTCATGGGTGCGTCGGCGCACGTACGAAGCCGATTCTAACAAATTGCCGATAGCGAGGCAGAGATGGATCGGACAACAGCACGAGCAACGGAGTAAGGGAGAGGAAAATAATGGGCCACGGGACAAGAGCGGCCTGCCGCTCTCGGCCGCATTGGTTTCACATAACTGTTAACGGCGTTGTCGGTCGGTCTATATCGAGATCGGCATCGCTCGGCGGCAACAAAAATCACCGCGTCCCGCACTCGACTTACCTGTTATCAATTAACTGTTAATGTACGTACGCTCGGTAGCGCGTCCATTGCGTGTGTTATCGACGCAAGCTGTGCGCTATGAATAATGCATCGCTGGTATATATCTCGTGTGCCACTTAGTCGAATATTCTGACTCGCGTCTTTATTCTCCGAGAGAGATTTTTGACGAGAGAGAAATAAAATTAAATCAACTTTGCGAAATCTGATTTTAGTTTTCATCGAGGAATATTCTTTTTTTTTCTCCAATTGCGATATTCACAGCGACTACAATTTGTAAGAGCTTTAATTTGTAATAGCTATTTTTGGCACTTAATAATTAAATATCTCAGATATGTTTGTACAGAGGAGATTTCGTAACTAATGTGAATGTCGCGTGATTCGACATCCGCCACTTTTGCGTTTGCATTATGGTGGCTTTCGTTGTTTTGACCAGTTCAACGTAAACATATTTATCGGGGTCTCTCGTGTCTTGCGTATCGGATAATCTCACGTGTTCTCTATCCTTCGAATGGGCGCAGTCGCGCGCGCCTGGAGGCACGTAAATTTATGAACGAGGAAACGGCAGGGATGACGCAGGAACATAGCTTTTGCAACGTCTGCTTTCTTGGGCGGCAAAACGAACCGTTCGGTGATATAAGGACGAGCGTGGGCGATTCGCTCTTGCGCGGAATCGCAAGCGCAGCTTCAGAACTGGTCTCGAAACGAATTAGACGACCAACGCATTTTCGCGCGGAACCTTATGAAGAGCGCGAATTTATGGGCGTGACTTTGTGTCCCTTTTAATTGCGTTACCTAAGATTTTCTCGGTGTCAATCTGCAATGGTTACGCGTGTAAGAAAATATGCGAGCGTGATTCATAATTACAAGTATTTTAGTAAATTCTAGTGCTGTCAGTTACTATTTGAATTCATGGTTATTAATTAGCTACTAAAGTTGCGGGAAATAATCCGAAAGGATATCTAGATAATGTCCGAAAAATCTGTATATCTAAATATTACAAAGTATAATATTGGTGATTAATTGATTTCTTAATAATTTTTATAAAAATATCGAGGCATGTACAAATATATGGTATAAGGCACTAAAAATAGTAAGAGATAAATATTTATGTATTAATGTATTCTATTAATTAATTTGAGTTATTATCATATTTTACTTTTGCAAAATGTGCACACTTGTCAGACGATAAACGTACGTCGACAAATTATCGGACAACTTCCGCGGTCATACTCGTGAGCGTTCGATTGTTTTCATTCAAATGAAAACCTCTCCGTGTCTTCGCCTATATTACTATTCAATATTCCTGTTCGCAGATTGCTGCGCACGCGACACCGTGTCTGCATTTCACAGGAACTCTGTAATTACCGGGAGCGAGGGACGCAGGCGCCAGGAGTACGAATCGAGATTTCGTCGACGACGTTGGACGCACGGCCGAACCAACCGAGAAAAAACCGAGAGAGTTAACGTTTCGATTAGCGTAAAGATTTTTTTTAATATTCAGAATCCAAATACTGCGAACGTTGAAATTCCGTTTGTAAACTTTTAAAAACAGTTATAAATTAACGTGAAATGTTCATTTTACAATATTATCTAGAGAAGAAGACAGGAATACGAGATTGTGATTTCAACTTATAAAACTAGATTCATCAAATTAATTTTATAGATAGATTAAATGCTTTAAATTTTGCGAATTATAAATTTACGTAAACCATCGCACCATTTTAAATTTTTCCAAAAAATATTGTATGTTTTTCTATAACTTCTTCAATACTTAATTATTGTGTTTATGTGTTATACTGCATTTATATTGTTTGAGTAGGAAATTGGAAGTTGCATGTTACTTGATGTTTGCTAAGTTCTATCTTATTTCACATTCAAACTGGTTTTTAAAGATTATTATTGACGCAATTTGGCATACGATTAGATTATCATGTCGGGAATATTAATAGAAATGGTTTATAAACGCTCTCGTTCTCCTCTGGAAAATACCGATCGCGCGTCACTCATAAATATTCAGAAGCAGCACTGCTCGGAATACCATAACAATACACCGCATCCCGGCGTCGTGACGACAAACGGGAAGAGAGAAAATCGTAAATCGCTTTACCTTATACGTCATGCCACGACCTTGAAGCCGAGGGTGACAGCGGTTCCTGTACTTCCGTTGACTCGCGGCACTTTTCCACCTTTGCTCTGCTCATAAGGCAATCCGAACGAAAAAGAGAGATAAAAGAAATAGAAAAGGAAAAGAAGAGGAAAGGGAGAAAGTCAGACTGCGCCGGGGGAGGAGTGGTGAAAGAAAGGGTGATGGATGTAGAAGGAACACACTTGTTTTATAACAACACACTATCTTCACACTCGTGATCACTCTCCCTTTTTCCCCTCGTGGAAGGGGCCCTTCCACGTGCGCGAGACGTCGGCCCTTACGAGAATACGAGATACTGGAACGTCCGCACGAACATTCCGCCAAGCCGTACCGGATCGTTCCTCAACGATAATACATCCAGGATCCCAACCGGAAGCCTCTCGTTTCTTGCACCTCGTGGTACCGCAACCACGTGCTCGGATAACGGTTTCGATCGTTCCCGCTCCGGCGAATGTACGACGCGTGTCCCTTTTTTTAGTATATCACACACCGCACCAGACAGCCTTCCGTTTTCTCAGAGAGACAGTTCTCTCCTCTCTCCTCTCTCCTCTCTCTCTCTCTCTTTCTCTCTCTCCTTATTCTTTCTGACTAGAGTTCGTTCTGGTCTCGTGCTCCGATCAGACGCCAAAGGGCGACAATCGACCTTATTAACGGTTCCCTCGTGGTGATTGTTCTACAGGATGATCGATTCCTGTGGGATCACACTGTCAATCCTCGGTGCCGAGCCCGGATGTGTATCGAAACGCGCGAGTGTCGTGTCGACAGGACAGTCGAGTCCTGACTGTTGATTTCTCTCACGGGAGGAGCGACGGAAGGAGCCAACCACGTTGCTCACCACCGTCCGGTGATCGTTTGGTACCCGTGCTCCGTTGTCCAGGTCCTCTCTCGAGGCGTGTGATATCTCCCTCCCCTCCCCCTTCCCCTCCTCTCTCTCTATCTCTCTCTTTCCTTCGCGCCGCGGACGAGGCGGAATATCAGCGAGAAACCGTGAGCGCTCTCGGAGGAGATTCGTGAGACGCGACGAGAGCGGAGTGGTCCGTACGGTGGTGAGTAAGCCGTGTGCCGATGTGTGAAGCGGGCGATGCCGCGTACAAACGTCTTGCGCACACACCGTACAACCGCGACGTACACAAACACGCGAGTACGTACCGTCGTGGGTACCGTCGATTGGGCGGGGAGACTGAATCCGTAGGCTGCGGTGCGGGTAGGTTAGTAAGTAGGTAGGTAGGTAGGTAGGTAGGTGAGCCACACACCGGGGAAACACACCGAAGAGACGTCCGCACACGCGGGGTAGGGTGGGAGGGGAAACCGCGCCGTTGTGTGCGAGCGCGCGCGCGCATGTATACGTATATTGAAGCGCCCGTTCCCTGTGTGTGTGAGAACGCACGCGGAGAAATATAGCGAAGGAGCTCCCCTGCGTGTTAACCGTGAGAGACGTCGGTAAGGTAAGTGCTCTCCTCTCTTTCAGCTCCGGAGTAGCACCACGCCGGCACGCGACCTGCCCTCCCCCCTTCTCCTCTTTCTGCCCCCCTCCTTCCCCCTTCGCTCTCATTGTGTTCCTTTTCCTACTTCATCGGCGAAGGACGTCTCTCCCTCTAGCCAACGTTTCCTCCTAGCTAGGTTCCTCCGGCACTCTTCTGACTGTCCTTCCCACTCCCCGTGCGCCCCGATCTGGACCCCGAAGAGAGGAGGTGGATGGTGTTGGTGCACCACTCCCACCCGATGGTCACCGACACACCGGAATCCTCCCAGCCAGCCGACGTGCTCTCGCAGGAGCGAGAAGGAGAGAACGGGTAAAAAAGAGTAAGAAGAAGAGAGGGAGAGAGAGAGAGAGGTAGGCAGGAAGGAGGGATGGGACGAAGAGTATCGAACACAGTCACTATCTCTTCTCTATCGTTACTCGCGATGCAACCTCCCAGGCAACTAATTCACCTTTGCAACTGTATCGACACCCTACCGCTCCATCGCTCGCGAATATATTCGTTCTTTCGGTTGCCTCCTCTTTTTTTTCTTCATCCGCATTCGTCTCGATAAAACTTGAGCGATTTATAATAGGATTAAAAGACAAAATACATACAGATACATACATACATACATACAAATATTTAATTAGACAATTATGATTTTTAGCAATTGTTAGACAATTTCATATTTTGATATTTTCTTCACATGGTATTAAAAATACTCTCATATTCAGGCAATGTAAATTTTACATTTGTATAAAAAAATGGATTATTGTCGAGAATTTTTGTTGATGTGTGTGTGCTTAATTATCTCATTTAAGTATCCGTTAATTTTATTTAAATTTTGCCTGAGTGATATCAAAAAATTGTCTTTAAATTCGTGATGTCACAACTAACAAATATCAGCGAATAATGATCTACCAGTGAAGTTATCTCTGTTAAGGTAAAATCGGCTCCGAATTTATGGCACTGTCTGTGGATAAAGGACATTCGATAGGCCTGAGACTCCTCTTGCATTGTATCGTTAGCTTCCAAGTATATTTCTTTGGTTTGATTACGCGTTTTACTTCGTTGTCCTGTCGTCGCGTTATCTATTGACTTCCTGCTCAGTCCGCTGCGTTTCGATTTTGGTATTGTCGCAATTGTATCACGAGTGTGTCGGTATTTCCATTTCCATTGACGTAAGTTTACCATTAAAGATGGAAACCGTTTCTCATCGTTCATCATCGCAGTACTAGCGGTATTCCCGTTTCGTTCTTCACCTCCTGACGCTAATTCACTTCTGGAATTGTGTAGTAGTACCCCACCACGTGATATTTTGCTCCGGTACTCTCCAGTTTTCCACGATGACGATCTGGTTATCCTAGGACCGGATCAACTCGTTACCGTATCGTACCCTGCTTGGTTTAAATGCCTTCAACTCTTTCTCTTCGATCAGTGTCGTAACTCTTGGAAGTCTTTGATGAAATACCGAGATTGATAAAAAATAATGATTATTCCAAACTAATGCTATGATTAGTATTGACTCTGCACTGACAGTAAAAATATTTAGAGATTAATATACAATATGTATGGTAAAAAGTTGCGATAAAAACTTTACAGCCCGAATAAAGTTATAAGGTATGATTAATAAATTATAATTTATAAAAGATGTTTCTTGACGGTTCAAACAGTTTATCGGTTGTAATCGCTGTATTATCCTATGTTTATGGAATTTTTTTGAAATTTCGTTTTAATCGCGCGATTAGATCGTGCAATTCTGTCATGAGAGCGCAGTAAATCAAGATTTTATGCAAATGAGAGTATTAATGACCTGATTAATCTTACTAAGTTATTCATCTTCGTTCCGTCATACTTCGGGGAAACATTTTTTACACATTTTTCATCCTATTTAGCTTCGTCATATTTGTCACAAAACTTTTCCTATAAAGCAAGATTTTTCTATTTAAAATAGAGTGGAAATGTTTTACTACAGATAAAAAAAAAAGATAAAACAAGTACATTCTATAATTTTAATGTTATAATTTATTTAAAATTTTTTAGATTTTAATTTTACGAGGTTGATTTCTTGTCATTGATCACGGAATAGATTCTTGCTAATTGTGATGCTCGCGTTCTTCTAGAATTTTTCTTGAAATATACTTTCTCGACTTCTATAATATATAATTTAATCAGATTTAATCAGGTGTAACTTTTCAAGCTTCTGCATTCACTCATTCTAGTCACTTCTATACATCATTGCTACGGCGTACTTGACGGCAACTTTATTCAAGTTGCAACTTTCTGGGTCAATCTCTAGTTAGCTTCTTAGCTTTAGGTTGCCCGAGAAACCAAGCACGGCGAGTAAATCGAGGAGGCCGGTGTATACGCCCCGAGACCTTAGATCATCGGATCCTCGTGGATCTCCACGCTCCGCCTTGTTGCGCAACTGTCGGTGATCTCGGGCACAACGGTCCTGACACAGTTACCTGGTCAGGGCGTTACGACGGGATTAAAAAGAACGAAGAGAGGGAAAAAAAGAAGAGGAAGAAGCGGAGAAACGTGAGCCGCTCTCGGAGAGCCTTCCCCGGTTTCACGGTTTGATGACTTTTTTTGCGACCTCTTGTTGCCGGACAAAAAGACGCTCTCTGATCCCTCGCCGCAGCTTTTCTCCGTTAAATGTCGTGCCGTTTCGTCCGTTTCGTCGGCGATTCTCTCTCTCTCTCTCTCTCTCTCTCTCTCTCTCTCTCTCTCTCTCTCTCTCTCTCTCTCTCGCTGGCGACGTGTTGCAACCTGCACAAATTTTGGCCTTCAACTCGGCACGCGGCCGCCGTCATCATGTCGTTGATGACGTTAAAAGCCGGCCCCGCTCGCACAACGTCACAATGCTCGAATGTCGCTTTGAATGACCGCCGTTACAACGAATTGCACCGACAATGGATCTTCTTGCGATTCTGCATAGTCACAAAATCGCGCATAATGTAGCCGTACCTTCGTCGCATTCTCTCGTGAAAAAAAAGAAAAAGAAGTAACCGATTTACCATTTATCAGAATCTTTTGTTGTGTCACGCGTATTGTATCGATTTTCTGCGTTCGAAATTTATTCGCGACGTTCATTCGCGCCCGGTTCGTTGCTCAACGAGGCCTCTCCGGAGAGAACCGGATGAACGACGGAGGTTCACCGTGTTGGTGTCACTTCAGGGTCGTCGATCGTGATATTTGAGGCTTATGGAGGCGGGTCGGAATTCGCGACCGCGTCGCGACGGATTCTCCTCCCCTCCCCTCTTGCTCCCCGTTGAGGCATTCTATTCTCATACGACGACACCTCTTCACCACGGGGTTGACGGCGTGCATGCACGCGGGCACGCACACCACGGCGCTCGCCGCGGAACCCATCATTAAACGCCTACGCGGACGAATATCGGCGAGGACGGCACGACATGATGTGGCTGATGGTGTCGTGCATGTCGCGATAAAGGCCGCGACAAACGCACGCGGAATAGCCGTCGCCCCAGTAAGAACGTCGTTGACAATGGCGTGCGCGCACCGGAAGCCTCGCTCACCGCCGCGCCGGTCGCGGTGAAAGTTAATCATCCTAAACGCTCTTCTCCCGAGAGATTAGCCCCATCATCCGGGATCCACCGAGCGAGGATCGCTCCAGCGTCTCGTTACGTTACCAACCTGGGAGTGTTGTTACGTCGAAAATTTTCTATTTCTTGAAATATTTGTAAAAAGCGAACCTCGAGATGCGATCATACAAGGATTGAATAGAGCAGCACGAAAAATTACATTAAAAATTATATATTACAAAAATAGTTGAAAAAATATCAGTATTTTATGTGTATTTTATCATTTAAATGCATTTTAAAAAAATAATTTTCACATAGAACGTATCGTGCAATAAACGTATAATACACGATCAAATCTAGAAATGAGCCCTGGGCACTAGGATAATTCTTGTAGCAGCAGATTTAAGGCTTTATTGTAGCAAGCAACTTAAATCTCGATGTGCTAATAGAGATATCGTAACGCCTTCTCGACTTTCATCGACTATGGGGCATCTCGACGGCCGCAAACTCGTCTTTATTGTCGATGCTCGAATCCTGTTCGAATCCTCGTCAGCTCGTTGTAATTTTCGTGCCAATTTACTTCCCGTGGGCGCAACGCTGTAACCGGCTTGCTTTAAATCTTACTTTAACGACGTTCCAGATAAGTTAAAAGTACAAAGATCTCACTTGGTTCGTCCGGGCATTGTTGGTGAAATCCTGCCACTTGCACAATTTTCGATCTAAATTCTACCGATGCTTCCAGGGAAATTACAAAAAGACGAGGGCGAAGAGAGAAGCTTTGTGCAAAATTCAATCGTAATTATTAATGCTCGCAATAATATCTGTACAAATCCTGAATCTGAATATAATATCGGTATATATTAATTATCGAAAGCGTACAATGACATCGTAGGTATGTTTTGTCTTTCT